AAAAAAAAAAAAAAAAAACAAATGTGCTGGAGCTCTTCTTGGCGACCATCAGAGGTGAGTCCCTTCTCCAACACTTGTCCTTTTTCCAAGGATCTCCCCTTCTAGCCCCACCTCGTTCCTACAACACCACGCCCCAAGGCTATGGCGCCAGAGTCTTCTTTCTGAAGCCCAGCTATATCTACCAGACTACCACAACACAGGCTGGTTGGTACGGGCACATGCTTATTCTTTAGCTGTAGGAAGTTAGAAACACTTGTAAATTGTAATTGTAATCCTGCTAGCGCACTGCTCGACTTAGCGCTCTCACAGCCTGGTGGTATCCTACATCTGTTTTTTTTTTTTTTTTTTTTTTTTTTTTTTTTTTTTGAAGAACTGGTATTTAATGTTGTTACCAGCCCAGGAGGAGCACGGCTCCATTAGCAAGTGGAGGGGTGTGCACATATGCCTGTGTGACGTGTGTGGGGCACAGTGTGGCATTTGCAGGACGCGCGTTAGTGACAGGAAAAGATGTGGAGAAGTGGTGTAAAAGAAAAAAAGGAAAGGACCATGCATTCAGCAGGGTGGGGGGGGTGACAGGTAAGAGGGGGATGTGAGACGCGGTCGCATTCGCTAGCGGCAGAGGAGGTAAGAGGGGGCTAGGCGACAGACGAGCGTATTCTTGGGCGTGAAGTCGGTCAGTGTCAGGCCCCATCTGTCACGGTGGTCTGTTTTCAACTTTTCACTGTGCAGTCACTGCAGTGGTATTTAAAACACCAGTACACCCACCCGCAGGTGCCTTACTGTGCGCCAAGCTTTTCTGAACTGCCAGCGGCACACTTCTTTTCTTTTTTGGCTGGCACCGCCAGCCATTGTGGTCCGGTAGGCCGAGCTACCGAACTTTTCGTAGGCGACGAGGTTTTTTTTTTTTTTTTGGACCATTTCTCGATTTATGCGTGTCATCCTTGCGCAGGGGCCATGCTAATCTTCTCTGTATCGTTCCAATTTTAACAGATGTCCCGAAGGACTAGGCGACGAGTTTCGTTTTCAGCAAGGCTGGGGCTGTGTACTGGCGGTTTTGAGGAAACGCCTGGAGCACGGCTCCATTAGCAAGTGGAGGGGCGTGAGCGTGCACCCCCCCGGTTCCTTCTGTGACCAGCCTTGTCCGCTCATCTTGATGGGATCAAGGGGGGGACTTGATTTCGCGCTGGAACTTGGAAGTGTTTTTTATTCTTTTTTGTTTAACGAGTTTTTAATTTCTTATCGAGTTTTTAATTCCTTTTCCTTTTAGTTGAATGCGCCTCTAATGCAGCAAACGGGCATACGCTCGTCGCTCACCCATGAGCTTCGATGGGGTTGAGTGTGCGCTTCATGGTGCTCAGGAAAAAAAAAAAAAAAAAAAAAAAAAAAACGTCCTAAAAATTCTAAAATTGAGGATCTCCCGACTGTTCGAGTCTTGAACCACAGTTGCTGAGCCCCATGAAGCGCACGCTCTGGAGGGAAGCTGGCAGCTGTGACTAAAATTGGGGCGCCTCACGCTCATGCTCTGGAGGGAAGCTGGGAGCTGCCCGGTTCGTTTCCATGTCTACTAAGAATGACATGCAAAGATTCAGCAAATATCTCGCTCTTCACAGCAGCTTGTTCTGGAGG